CACTCCCCTCCACGCTCTCCGTGGGCTCTCAGTGTCCCTCTGGGCGCCCCCAGACCTGAGCTCAGTTCCCTCTTCTCCGCTTCGCCTGGGAGGGGACCCCCATCTGGCTTTTCTCCACCCCCATCTGCAGCGCAAGCCCCACCCCAGCCTGCGCTTCCCACCTTTTCAGCGCCCGCAAGCTTCTGTCTGCCCCACCCCTGGCCCCGTCGTCACACGCCTGGGCCACGTCCTGGAGGACATCTTCCCTGTGGGTCCCTGCCCCAGGCCCTCCCACAGCTGCCTGCCCACTCACAGCCAGGCTGACGCACCTCTGCTTCTCATTGGCACATAAGAACTGCACACATGCATGGGGGGATGGGGTGACGTTGATGCCACAATGGTGTCATGATCAGAGCAGAGCATGTAGGCCCCCATCACTCCAAACATTTGCCGTCCAATGGACTCGTTAGGGAAACTGGGATAATGTCACTCGTATGTGCTAATCTCTTCCATGTCCTCCCAATTGTTCTGACTTTAAAATGTATAATATACATTGAAATGTATAATACACACATTTTAAAGTACATTATAATATGTATTACACATATAATGTACATATACCTACATACTGTGTGTGTATATTTGTGTGTGGATACTTGTGTGTCTAAGTGTGCATGTGCATATACACATATATGTGTGTATGACTTTCCGTGGCCACAGGTTCTGCATCCTTAGAGTCAACCAATCCTGGACTGAAAATCTTCAAAGAAAAAAAATGCATCCTAAACGTGTCCAGACTTCTTTCCTTGTCATTGTTCCTTAGTGACACACTCTCAAAGCGATTTACATAGCATTTGCACCTTTTTAGGTTCTGTGCAAATACTACCGCTGTTCTATACAAGGGTTTATGGTGCCGGCGCCGCGGCTCACTAGGCTAATCCTCCGCCTAGCGGCGCCGGCACACCGGGTTCTAGTCCCGGTCGGGGCGCCGGATTCTGTCCCGGTTGCCCCTCTTCCAGGCCAGCCCTCTGCTGTGGCCAGGGAGTGCAGTGGAGGATGGCCCAGGTGCTTGGGCCCTGCACCCCATGGGAGACCAGGAAAAGCACCTGGCTCCTGGCTCCTGCCATCGGATCAGCGCGGTGCGCCGGCCGCAGCGCGCAGGCCGCGGCGGCCATTGGAGGGTGAACCAACGGCAAAGGAAGACCTTTCTCTCTGTCTCTCTCACTGTCCACTCTGCCTGTCAAAAAATAAAAAAAATAAAAAAAAAATAAAAAAAAAAACAAGGGTTTATGGTACCTGCTGGGGTCCTGGAACCAGCCCCTGAGGGATGGTGAGGGACTAACACACACACATGAAAAATCGGAAAGTATTAACATTGCCTCCACATGGTGGGATTATGGGTAATAGTCTCCATCGTCCCTCTGCTCCCAGATGTGTGCCAGGAACACACGGGTATTACCTTTATGATCAGAAACACGCAATCGTTGCTGTTTTTCAAGTGAGCACAGAAGCAAACCAGCCACCCTGGAGGCCAGCAATTAACAAACCCTGTCTCCCAGGTGCTCTGAGTTAGTTAACTTTCCGCAGCCAATTTAGCAGAGCGGGGCCTGGCGCTGGCTCGGGGCCTCATCAGCTTCGGCGCTAATGGCCCCTCCTGGAACCTCTCTACTTGCAGGCCGCGTAATTGCCAGCACTTTATCCCGCTCCCTCCGCGCTGGCCAGAAAAAGTGACCTCACCTCCGGTGGGGAGGTGAAGACAACAGGGGAAAGCAGCACTGGGCCTGCAGGAGCCGCCTGGGAATCAATCGGTCTGAACTGAGCTCCGGGGAGCGGGCGGAGAGCTGTGCTGGGGCTGGTTTTGTTGTTCTTTTGCCTGCTGCCGGCTGCCGGAGTCTCCTGTTCTCTGTGGCCCCCACCCCCATGGGGTCAGAACCTTGGCTTCCTCCCAACCCCAGGGCTCAGCTGGCTCCTGCCCACACTCGGACTTAGAATTGCAGATGAGACGCAGCTTTTCTTGGTATCTAAATACTCACTTACCGATTCTTAAGTATGATATAAGCATTTTATCATTCACATCTCCCAGTAGTTCTCTCCCTGGGTTCTCCTCTGCTCACAGGAACGCTGCCTCCAGTTTGCCACAGACCTTGACATGCACACATGTACAGATGCACACACTGGCTGTGATGGTCAGGGCTGGGCCAGGCCTTAGCCCAGGAGCCTGGAGCTCCATCCGGGTCTCCCACGTGGGTGGCAGGGGCCTCTCTTCCCCTGCTTTCCCACCCAGGCCATTTGCAGGGAGCTGGATTGGAAGTGGAGCAGCCGGGACTCAAACCAGTGCCCATATGAGATGCCAGTGTCACAGGCTGTGGCTTACCCTGCTGAGCCACCGTGCCAGACCCACAGAACTCCTTTCTTGAAGGCAACATACTCTTCAATCTATGGATGTACCATAGAGTTAGCCACTCTTCAGCACGTATTGTGGGGTGCAGGGCACCGTGCAGTACAGTTGTGAAAAAGAAGTGTTACAGTCAGGCAACACAGAGACACACAGTGGTAAAGAAAGGCAGGGGCCGGGTGGCGCAGAGATTAAGCCGCCGCCTACAGTGCCAGCATCCCATATGGGTGCCGGTTCGAGACCCGGCTGCTCCACTTCCCATCCAGCTCTCTGCCATGGCCTGGGAAAGCAGCAGCAGATGGCCCAAGTCCTTGGGCCCTGAAGCCATGTGGGAGACCCAGATGAAGCTCTTAGCTTTGGCCTGACCCAGCCTTGGCTGTTGCAGTTATTTGGGGAGTGAACCAACAGCATGATCTCTCCCTCTCTCCCTCTCTCTCTCTCTCTCTCTCTCTCTCGGTAACTTTGCCTTTCAGTTAAATAAATTTTAAAAAGATTTTTTTTTTTTAGAAAAAGACATTCTAAAGATTTTTAAAGGGATATGTGAGTTTAAGTGAGTTCTTAAATTCACTTAGAAGAGAAAGTGTACATCCCAATAAAACCTCTTTTAGAAGTTAGAAAAAGAATGAACAGTGAGAACAGCGAGGAGAATGGAGCAGACCATCAGAACAGGTGAACCCTCCCCCCCAACACGCACACACACAGGGCATCTTCCTGCATAATAAAGTCACACCTTACTGCCAGACAGTGTGTCACGTCTGTGTGAGCAGGAACTACTCTGCAACAGAATGGACAAATCAGTGAAACCGGGAGCCATAGGGGTGAGAAAGGAACCACATCGAGAGAGGACAGACTGTGTGAGTCCAAGGATTGAAAATCCTAACATGCCAAGGCGTGTGTGGCGACAGAAAGCAGGCCAGTGGCTTCCTGGGCACGGGGAAGGATGGGACCTGTGCTCGGATTGTGCAGGCGGGTTCATAGACCGACACATGCGGGACACGTCACAAGACAGTGCAGGTCCCTGTGGCTTAGGTACTCAAGTAAAATTCTAGGAGAATGCTGGAGAAAAGCAGAGATAGAGCTCTCTCCCATCTGTTGGTTCACTTCCTAAACACCTCCAACAGCCAGGCATACATTTGGAGTCTTGAAACTCCATCCGGGTCTCCCACATCGGGGACAGGGACCCAAGTGCTGAGCCATCGGCTGTCTCCCAGGGTGCACATCAGTAGGTGTTGGGATTGGGAGCAGAGCCTTGACTCGAACCCGGGCACTGTGTTGTGGGATGCAGGTGTCCCGAGCAGCTCGTCTGCTGTGCCAAATGCCTACCCCTGAAACTTCTTAATTTTTCCACGGAGAGACTTAATCAATACAAGGAGAAGGCAATCTATGAAGTAGGAGAAAATTTATTATCAATGAACCATGTCCTATTCGGGTCAATGCCCGGAATATAAAGGATTCTGTCACTCAACACCTTTTGACAGTAGGAGAGATGACACAGCTTCAGCATTTTACTCTGGAACTCGTCACAGTTGAAATGTGTATACGAATTTTATTCTCATAAAATTGCTTAAAGGTTAAATTGGCTATAATGTACTTGGAAAGTCCTGGTACGGTAATACTTTATCTCTGTAATAGTTAAGGCTATTAAGTGGCTTGTGTAGTAATATTCCATGATGTAATAAAAGGAAAAAAGGCAGGCAGACTGCACTACCTACAGAGCATCACCTTTAACCTCACACGGCCAGCAGGCCTCCTTTTCATAAAAAGATGCTCACTCACTGGTCTGTGGGAAGAACCTTGGCAGCATCAGATGTTTCAAACTCAGATCAAGTGGCCGCGCAGTGGCCCACCCACACCTCTGCAGCTGGCCCTCTGCTGCCATCTGCTGGGCTGTACAGATCTGCATCTCTGAGCGTCTCCAAGCCTCACGCCTAGCCAGGATGCACACCTCTCACTGTCGGAAGTTTTTCTCCACTGTGCATAACACAAGACAATTTCTCACCATGAGGCCTCATTGTGTTCTCCCTCCATAATTTAAAAACTTAGCCACAGGCCCACGTAACATTGCAATTCCCTCTCAATGTTGTCTTGCCAGCCCACGATGAGGGGGCAGCTGAATCATGTCCACGGGGGCGCACAGACAGGCCCGCTGGGACTTTCCTGTTGGTTCTTATCTGGAGCACAGGCTTCTTTGGTGAGTTCTCCTCTGATCCTGTGGGTGTGAAAAGCACCAAGCCACCATTCCTGTGTGGGGAATCTTCCATCTTGCTAGGTGAGCTATGTCTTTTTTTTTTTCTTAAAATTTATTGGTGGGGGGCAGGGAGGGTAAGAAAGAGAATTTTTCTTTTTTAACTTTTATTTAGTAAATATAAATTTCCAAAGTACAGTTTATTGATTACAATGGCTTTCCCCCCCATAACTTCCCTCCCACTCCCACCCCTCCCATCTCCCACCCCTCCCATCTCCCGCTCCCTCTCCCATTCCGTTCACATCAAGATTTTCTTTTATTTTTTGGACAGGCAGAGTGGACAGTGAGAGAGAGAGACAGAGAGAAAGGTCTTCCTTTTTGCCATTGGTTCACCCTCCAATGGCCGCCACGGCTGGCGCGCTGTGGCCGGCTCACCGCGCTGATCCGATGGCAGGATCCAGGTACTTATCCTGGTCTCCCATGGGGTGCAGGACCCAAGCACTTGGACCATCCTCCACTGCACTCCCGGGCCACAGCAGAGAGCCGGCCTGGAAGAGGGGCAACCGGGACAGAATCCGGCGCCCCAACCGGGACTAGAACCCGGTGTGCCGGCGCCGCAAGGCGGAGGATTAGCCTAGTGAGCCGCGGCGCCGGCCTGAGACTAACACTTCACACAGCTTCTGCTGTGTGCCATAAGCTCACATCACACCATTTTATCATTGGCTTTGAGGCCCAAGACCGGATTCCTGGGACTCTGCTTTCAAATGGATCTTCGTGTGGCGCTTGAAAGTCCCCAGCTGCCGGAAGGTGTGGCCACACGTGTCACACCGGTAGGGCTTCGTGTTGGTGTGGATGCGTTGGTGGACGTTCAGGTTCCCCTTGTGGCTGAAGCACTTGTCGCAGTACTGACATTTGTACGGCCGCTCGTTGGTGTGGATCCGCCTGTGAGTGAGCAGGCTGGCCTCGTGAGTGAACCTGTGGCTGCAGACTTCACACATGTAGGGCTTCTCGCCGCTGTGGATCCGCTGGTGGACTCGAAGGTCTGAGGCCTGCATGAAGCCCTTCTTACAGGACTCACACTGGTAAGGCCTCTCTCCCGTGTGTGTCCTCTGGTGTATGACAAACTGAGACCTGTAGTTAAAGCTCTTGGGGCAGTCAGAGCACTGATACAGTGCTGCATTTTGGCGAGCAGAACTGACTGGTTTTGTAGCGCTGGGTGCATCAGATGGATTCACTCCAACCTGTCTTGGGATTTCTCCGCTTTCAGACTGGGTGGCTCCTCCTTGCTCCCTTGACGAGGTGGGGCTGCTGTTCCGTCGCTTTCTGGAATGTCTTGGACGTGGTGTTGAAGCTTCTCCCTCCAAAACTGGGGTGGAAGATGGGTCGGCGTGCGTGTTTTCAACAGGAAGTTCTTCTTGGGGGCTCTCCCCATCCTCTGCACAACCAAAATCTGCTGGAAGAAGGAATTCCACACATGGCATTTAGTACAGAGCGTTTGCAACGAGAGTCACTCAAACCACACAGTGATGTTGGCTGAGAACTGCCCGTCGACCTCAGAAGCCTACAAGATGGACGGTAGGGCCCTGGACAGTCAGGTCTGGCCACAGATGGCCAACTCCCCAGGGACATACCCCACCCCACCCGCCAACACAGAAAAGGAAGAATGCAGCCAACTCTCCAGGGGTCCTCAGTCTCCACACTCACCGGGACCCTCCGGAAGGTACAGCTCTGCCGGTTCCACTGCTGTCGCCTCTTGTCTGTCTGCCCTCACGTCCTCCTCTTGAAAGTCTGGCTTGGGGCTCAGCCCCTGTGGGTCTCTGCTTGCAGGAACGATCGCTGGCAGGGCTTCCTCTCCCTGGGAAAGGCAACCAAGCAGAAGCACTCATACATCCGAGCTGCATGGAGCTCGGAAACCTTCCTTCCTTTTGGGACCCGGCCTTCCTAAGGACAGAGTTTTGTGGATATGTCCAGACTTCCAGTGGGCCACCCATCGCCCCACGTGAGCACCTCACCCAGTCTCCACACCAACCTGTAACAACCGCTACACCAAGCCCCATGCTTTCCACCCCTTCCTTTCTTTACGTGGTCTTCAAAAAGTTCGTGGAAAACCATTATTAGAAAAACTATTCTTGGTCTTCAAAAAAATTTTTGCACCAAAATAACCGTATCTTTTAAAAATACATATTTCTGTCTATCTGAAAGGCAGAGCCAAGTGGGAAAAGGAGAGGAGAGAGATCTTCCATCTACTGGTTCACTCCTCCAAATGCCTGTAACAGCCAGGTGGAAGCCAGGATCCCAGAACTCCATCTAGGTCTCCCGTGTGTTTGACAGGGGCCTAAGCACTTACGCCATCCCCTGCTGCCTCCCAGGGCACATTACCAGGAAGCTGGATCAGAAGTGGAGGTGCTGGGATTCAAACTGGCACGCCAGCAGGGGATGAGGGCTTCGTAAGCTATGGCTTAACCAACTACGCCACAATACCCACGCCTAAATGTATCAATTAATTCACTTTTCCATGAGCTTTTTGAAGTATCCTCATATTTCTCCCATCATCCAACTTCCCCTGCCCTGAACTCTGGAAGCAAAATGACTCCAGGCCAAGGTTGACATTTGGGGCTGGATAATCCTTTCTGGTGGGGACTGGCCGATACATTGCAGTGTACAGAGAAAGCTCCCTGGATCCACCAACCATATGCAGTTAACACTCCTCCCCTCACACACACACCACTGCCACCTAGAATAAACCCAAAACTTGTCAAATGTCCCTTGGAAGGTAACACTCACCAGAACTGAGCAGCACCCTTAATTAAGGAAGGGACAATTTTTAGAAAATTAGTCCTCTAGTCAATCAATTCTTGAAGTATCTTTGAGGAAACTGGCTGTGGGGGAGTTACTGGTGGCTCACCCATCTGTGTGGCAAGTTGACCCAGGCCTCGTTCATCTGCACCCTGAAGGCTACTTTCCTGCTTTCTCCGCACCCTTAATGCTAAAAGACTTAGTGGTCGGCCGGCGCCGCGGCTCACTAGACTAATCCTCCGCCAGCGGCGCTGGTACTTCCGGTTCTAGTCCCGGTTGCTCCTCTTCCAGTCCAGCTCTCTGCTGTGGCCCGGGAAGGCAGTGGAGGATGCCCCACGTGCTTGGGTGCCTGCATCTGCTTGGGAGACCAGGAAGAAGCACTTGGCTCCTGGCTTCGGATCTGCACAGTGCACCGGCCGTAGCGGCCATTTGGGAGATGAACCTGCGGAAGAGCTTTCTCTCTGTCTCTCTCTCTCACTGTCTAACTCTGCCTGTCTAAATAAATAAATAAATACTTAGTGGTTGAGGGACAAAGCCAATTCCTCTTAGGCCCCCACATGGCTCAGAAGCGTGTAGGGATGTGACATGTGCATGGTCCATGGGTACAGTCCTGTCTGACTCACTCTACAGCTACACCAGATTTCCTTTTGTGCCTTCTCCACCTCGCCCCAGAGACCAGGGCAGCCCACTCACCGGTCCCCTCGTTGGGTCCTGCACAGTTTGGTTCATCTGCTGGCTTCCCTCGGGATGGATCTCGCTCACAGAAGACGGGTGCTGGAGAGTTAAGTCGATCGCATCATTCATATCGCTGGGCTCCACTTCGACCATCTGCACATCGGAATTCCGCTGAAGAAATTCCTGTCCATTCAAGACGACCACAGTCTGGGGGAGAGAAGGGAAAGCACCATCAGACACCCTGAGAGAAGCTGAGTATACTGGCCAGGGTGTGGCATAAGCCACCATTTGTGACACCTGCCTCACATATCAGAGCGCTCATTGGAATTCTGACTGCTCCACTTCCAATCCAGCTCCCTGCTAATGAGCCCAGGGAAAGCAGCAGATGGCGGCCCAAGTATTTGAGCCCCCAGCACCTACCTGGAGTCCATATGGAGTTCCAGGCTCCTGGATTTGGTCTGAACCAGCCCTAGCTGGTCATTTGGGGGCAGTGAACCAGGAAATGGAAGATCTCCTTTCTCTCTCTTTCACTCTGCTTTTCAATTAAATAAAAGTAATTTAAAAAAGAAAACCTGAGGGTAGTTTTCATACTCCGCATATGTGTTCTGCCATATTGCTCAAGCTAGCTTAAAATTCTTGGCACAGAATTAGCTCTGCAGCTACAGAAACCCCAGCTGAAACGTTTTGCTCTCTAATCTCCAGCAGCTGCCCCATGCCCAAGGCCTTTTCAAAGCTCCCTCAATCTGGCATCAGCTACACCAGGTTTCCTTTTGTGCCTTCTCCACCTCGCCCCAGAGACCAGGGCAGCCCACTCACCGGTCCCCTCGTTGGGTCCTGCACAGTTTGGTTCATCTGCTGGCTTCCCTCGGGATGGACCTTGCTCACAGAGGACGGGTGCTGGAGAGTTAAGTCGATCGCATCATTCATATCGCTGGGCTCTACTTCGACCATCTGCACATCGGAATTCCGCTGAAGAAATTTCTGTCCATTCAAGACGACCACAGTCTGGGGGAGAGAAGGGAAAACACCATCAGACACCCTGAGAGAAGCTGAGTATACTGGCCAGGGTGTGGCATAAGCCACTATTTGTGACACCTGCATCACATATCAGAGCGCTCATTGGAATTCTGACTGCTCCACTTCCAATCCAGCTCCCTGCTAATGAGCCCAGGGAAAGCAGCAGATGGCGGCCCAAGTATTTGAGCCCCCAGCACCTACCTGGAGTCCATATGGAGTTCCAGGCTCCTGGATTTGGTCTGAACCAGCCCTAGCTGGTCATTTGGGGGCAGTGAACCAGGAAATGGAAGATCTCCTTTCTCTCTTTCTCTCTGCTTCGGGGAAATTTTTTTTTTTTCAATTTTTTCGGACAGGCAGAGTGGACAGTGAGAGAGAGAAATAGAGAGAAAGGTCTTCCTTTGCCGTTGGTTCACCCTCCAATGGCCGCCACGGCTGACGCGCTGCAGCCGGCACACCGTGCTGATCCGATGGCAGGAGCCAGGTGCTTCTCCTGGTCTCCCATGGGGTGCAGGGCCCAAGCACTTGGGCCATCCTCCACTGCACTCCCTGGCCACAGCAGAGAGCTGGCCTGGAAGAGGGGCAACCGGGACAGAATCCGGCGCCCCAACCGGGACTAGAATCCGGTGTGCCGGCGCCGCAAGGCGGAGGATTAGCCTAGTGAGCCACGGCGCTGCACTCTGCTTTTCAATTAAATAAAAGTAATTTAAAAAAGAAAACCTGAGGGTAGTTTTCATACTCCGCATATGTGTTCTGCCATATTGCTCAAGCTAGCTTAAAATTCTTGGCACAGAATTAGCTCTGCAGCTACAGAAACCCCAGCTGAAACGTTTTGCTCTCTGATCTCCAGCAGCTGCCCCATGTCCAAGGCCTTTTCAAAGCTCCCTCAATCTGGCGTTATTTGGAAGAACTGGTCTCCAAATCCAAAGAGGAGAAAAACCCTCCTAGTAAATCAAGATCACCTTACACAGATTCAACCAAGCAAGGATTGAAAATATAACAAGGGGCTGGTGCCGTGGCGCAGTAGGTTAATCCTCTGCCTGCGGTGCCGGCATCCCATATGGGTGCAGGTTCTAGTCCTGGCTGCCCCTCTTCCAATCCAGCTCTCTGCTATGGCCTGGGAAAGAAGTAGAAGATGGCCCAAGTTCTTGGGCCCCTGCACCCACATGGGAGACCAGGAAGAAGTGCCTGGCTCCTGGCTTCGGATCGGCGCAGTGCACCGGCCGTAGCGGCCATTTAGAGAGTGAACCAACGGAGGGAAGAGCTTTCTCTCTGTCTCTCCCTCTCACTGTAACACTAACTCTCAAATAAATAAAATCTTTTTAAAAATTGTATAAAAACTGGGGCCGGCGCTGTGGCGCAGCAAGTTAACGCCCTGGCCATAAGCGCCAGCATCCCATATGGGCGCCAGTTCAAGACTCGGCTGCTCCACTTCCGATCCAGCTCTCTGCTGTGGCCTGGGATAGCAGTAGAAGATGGTCCAAGTCCTTGGACCCCTGCACCCGCGTGGGAGACCTGGAAGAAGCTCCTGGCTCCTGGCTTCGGGTCAGCGCAGCTCCGGCCGTTGTGGCCAATTTTGGAGTGAACCAGCGGATGGAAGACTCTCTCTCTCTCTTTCTCTCTCTGCCTCTCTCCCTGTGTAACTCTGACTTTCAAATAAATAAATAAATCTTTAAAAAAATTGTATAAAAACTAAAATATAAGAAACCAGTGCCCTATTGGAAGACACTCGCGCCCTACATTGGTGTACCTGGGTTTGCTTTCTGGCTCTGCTCATTTCCAGCTTCCTGCCAATGCAGACACTGGGAGGTGGCAGATAAATCTGCCTGTCTCTTCCCTCTCCCTTTCTTAACTCTCTCTTCAAAGCATTCAGACACTGAAATCACCAGGAAGAAAAGGAAACACCCCCTCTCCCAACTTAAACCCCACCTAATCTAACAGTTCTCCACTGGGAGAGATGTTGCCCCTGGGACAACTGGCGATGTCCGGAGATATTTTTGGCTGTTGCAGCTGGAAGGTGCCCCTGGCATCCAGGGGTAGAGACCACGAATGCCATTCAACAGCCCACACTATGGCCCAGGGCCCGCCAAGAATAACTCACCCCCCCAAACATCACTGGTACCAAGCGTGATACATCCCGAACTAGTCCAAAGCCTACTCCACTCCTCAGCTGCCAGTCAGTGGCTGCTGAACACTGGTGCTCCCTAAGGGAATGGGGAATTGTCCTCTGGACTTTATCCAGGTCCTTTGTGAAAGGCTGGGACACCGGACATCCACTTCTATGTCCGTCCCCTCATCTGCAGACAAATGTCCTTGCCTGTGTCCCTTATTGTATCCAAATGTGCGGTCTCTCTGGTCTCAGCTTTGCCTGGAGAGTGGTCTTCAACCCTGAGACCCATTTCTTCAGCCGTCACCAGGGGCAGAGACGCTGTTGGCATCAGCCACTTCACCATGAGTATGTCAGGACTATGCCATGCATTGGAAAATCAAACACCGTTGGACCCATCTGCTGTTGAAATGTGTTACGTGGACGACTTTAAGGATGGCTTTGCCCAGTGGGTGGACCTGGACTGGTGTTTTGCAGCCCCAGGCTGGTTAACATTTGGGATTAGGTCCCTCTGTGGAGCTGTCCTGGGCACTGCGGGGTGTGTAGCAGTGACTCCACTTCCCAGGTGCCAGGAGCCATCTCCTCTCACTCCTGGAGTGAGAGGAAGTCGCCAGATACTGCCCGGGGTTCCCTAAGAGGCAAGCACTCCTCTGAGAACAAACCTCGGGTCTGAAGGCACCGTGCAGCCCCTGCCCCTCCCCACCCTTTGCCAAGTGTGGAGGTCTCACTCACCCACTGCTTGGGCTCCCTGTGGCGTCTCAGCACCGCTTCCAGCTGCCTGCAGCTCCTCACGCCGCTTTCCTTGACTAAGACCTGGAGGTCCTGGGGCATGGAGATCATGAACTGTTCCAGCACCAGCAGGTCCATGATCTGCTCCTTCGTGTGGAGATCTGGCCTCAGCCATCTGTGACACAGCTCGACAAGTGTCCGCAGATCCTGGATGGGGTCTGAACAGTCTGAGCCGCTGAAGGCTCTGAATCTGGTATGCCATTCCTCCATGTCGCCGCCTTGCCCATTAAGGGGAGTGTTTTCTGATGGCATGACGGACAGCAGCTCTGGGCCAGAGCTATCATAGGGTTGCTCACCATCCAAAGAAAAAGTGTGCTCTGTGGCCATATTTAATGACGCACTTTGCAATCAGCTCTGAGAAAGGCCTCCTGGAAGATGGTTGTCTGATGGACACCTATCAACAGGTCTATTCTGGTTTCTTGAGTAATAGACTCACTGTTCAGAATACTAAGGAGGAAAAAAAGAACGAACCGGATCAGTCTGACTCCCTACCCCACCCTCCCCTCCCTTCCAAATCCATTCATGCTAATGCCAGACACCACCCACTGATGCAAATGTGAAAGCAGTCATCCCATCAGAAAACAGGGCCCATGCTCTTAACAATAACAATAACAATAACAGGATTATGCGAAGTTCTAGAAAATCTGTTGCCATAAAATGCACATTCCTGTTATCTTCCCATTAAGACAAGACGACAAGGCAAATTTTTAGTCATACTTATGCGCAAGTACAGAGAAAAAAAACCCTGTAACCTAAGAATTTCATGTGGTGTGCTCAACACTGGAACTATTAACCTAACAATTTCCCAACACATTTCCTTGTTGGTCACAGAATGCCTGTTTGCTTCAGGGAAGAGAAAACTCAAAGGAGCCCTAAAAAAACTAAGCTCCTGGGGCCAGTGCTGCGGCGTAGCGGGTAAGGCCCTGGCCTGAAGCGCCGGCATCCCATATGGGCTCTGGTTCAAATCCTGGCTGCTCCTCTTCCAGTCCAGCTCTCTGCCATGGCCTGGGAAAGCAGTGGGAGATGCCCCAAGTCCTTGGGCTCCTGCACCCATGTGGGAGACCCGGAGGAAGCTCCTGGCTCCTGGCTTCAGATAGGCACAGCTCTGGCCGTTGCGGCCAACTGGGGAGTGAACCATCAGATAGAAGACCTCTCTCTTTCTCTGCCTCTCCTCTTTCTGTGTAAGAAACTCTGACTTTCAAATAAATAAATAAATCTTAAAAAAAAAAAAAAGACTAAAAACTAGGTAAAGGGCCTGAATAGAGTTTTTGGTGTTTGTTTTTTGTTTGTTTGTTTGTTTTTTTACAGGCAGAGTTAGAGAGAGAGAGAGACGGAGAGAAAGGTCTTCCTTCCGTTGGTTCACCCCCCAAGTGGCCGCTACGGCCGACGCGCTGCACCGATCCGAAGCCAGGAGCCAGGTGCTTCTCCTGGTCTCCCATGGGGTGCAGGGCCCAAGCACTTGGGCCATCCTCCACTGCCTTCCCAGGCCACAGCAGAGAGCTGGCCTGGAAGAGGGGCAACTGGGACAGAATCTGGCGCCCCAACTGGGACTAGAACCCAGGGTGCCGGCGCCACAGGCGGAGAATTAGCCTAGTGAGCCGTGGCACCAGCTTTTTTTGTTTTTGTGGCAGGTAGAGTCATAGACAGTGAGAGAGAGAGACAGAGAAAGGTCTTCCTTCCGTTGGTTCACTCCCCAAATGGCCGTTACAGCCGGCGCTGAGGCTCTCCCTGAATAGAGATTTTTTTAAGGAGACATATCAGTGGCCAACAGGTATGTGGGAAAACATTCGTCATCACTAATGATCAGAGAAATGCAAATTAAAAATTTTGAAGCCCATGCATATGAGGGTTGTCAAAGAATTATGAAAAATATAGATTGTGAAAAAAAATTTGGTTTTCAAAATTTTTTGCACCAAACAAACTTAAGATTTAATTTTGTTTTTACCATAAACTTGCTTGTTTTTTATTTTTATTTATTTTTTTTTTTAGGAAACAGGCAGGAATTTTTAGACCAGTTTAGGTTTAGATTCACCAGACTGGACTGTTTTTTAACATTTAAAGTAAAATTTTTTTGCCACAAACCATGATTATGTTTAAGTTCCCTCATATTATAGGTGAGTTAAACAAGTCCGAGCTAACAATGAGTTACAGAGGAGCCACTTTCTTCCGCCAGCCCTAGGAGCCAATGCGTGATGCAGACCAATTGCGATGTTTCTGAAACCAGCCCCCGCTCCATGCACACTGACCCCAGGTCCCTCCCAGATATTGCTGTTAGCTCACCTGCCTGCCGACTCCGGGCTTCCACCTCCTTCCGTCTGGGATCCACACTCAAATGAGCCTTGAGCTGCAAAAATCTCTCCGTATTTATAGAGCTCCAAGCCCCTCCCTTTGTTACCTAATTGGTCCATGATTTGGCTTGAGGGCAGATTTTTTTTTTAAGAAGTGTTGATTGGCTGGCGTTCCCAATGAGATCCCATCCATCAAGAGAAAATTTAACTTGCTGAATATGCAGATTTTGGAAATAGTATTGGATTTCTTATTTGTTGTTTTGTTTTATTTTAAGATTTATTTTTATTTATTTGAAAGTCAAAGTTATAGAGAGAGGTAGAGACACAGAGAGAGAGAGCAAGAGAGAGGTCTTCCATCTGCTGGTTCACTCCCCAGATGGCCACAACGGCCAGAGCTGCGCTGATCCAAAGCCAGGAGCCAGGAGCTTCTTCTGGGTCTCCCACGTGGGTGCAGGGGCCCAAGAACTTGGGCCATCTTCTACTGCTTTCCCAGGCCACAGCAGAGAGCTGGATTGGAAGAGCAGCTGGAACTAGAACTGGCGCCTATATGGGATGCTGGTGCCTCAGGCCGGGGGCTTTAACCAGCTGCACCACAGCGCCAGCCCCCAAACCCAAACTTTAAGTGCTGCCCTGAGTCCTCTGAGCCGCTCTCAGAAATCCAAACCTCCAGTGGCGGGTGGTGGGAACCCAAGCCCACGACTGGCTGAGGGGCAGCCCTGGGTGTCTCACTGGTGGTGAGAATTCAGCAGAGCAGCAGAGTTGAGTTTATTAAAGCCCGCTGCAAGGGGCCGTGGGCGAGCAGCCGCTGTTAGCCGTCGACTGCTGCAGCGTGGACTGTGACCTAGGAGGTGTCCGTCTGAGGCAGACTGCTGCTGGCTCGGGGAGCCCCTGTTGCTCGTTCCTAGAATGTTCCCCAGTGGCTTCCCTATTGCCCAGATGATGTCCACAGTGGGAACTAAGGCCTTGGCCTGTGGGATCAGGCCATCTCCAGGTTGTGTCAGAATGGACCTGAACGGGAAGACTCCCAGCTGGGGTCTGCCGTGAGATTGCTGGGAGAGAAGTCCCCTCTCATGTTGGTGACCAGCGGCCATGGAAGGCGTCTGCGTTGTGTGGAGTGCATGAGAACAAGGAAAAATCTGCACTGTTTTCACCTCTGTCTCTCAACACTGAAAACCACAGCGCTGAGGATTTTATATATATATATTTATATATTTATTTATATATTTTAAATTTTTGACTTGGTTTTATTTATTTGAGAGGCAGAACAAGAGAGAGCTCCCATCCACTCCCCCAGATACCCGCAGGAGCCAGGGTGAAGCCAGGAGCCAGGAGCTCAACCTAGGTCTTCTGTGAGGGTGGTGGGGACCCAAGTACCTGAGCCATCAACAGCGGCCCGTTGCAGGGTGCATTAGCAAGAAACTGGAATCAGAAGCGGGGCAGGAGTTGCGCTGGAATCTACCCACATGGTTAGGGACTGTGTGTGTCCCAAGCAGCACATTTTTTTAAAGGAGTTGTTTATTTGAAAGTCAGAGTTACAGAGAGAGGGGGAAAGCCAGAAAAATCCGCTGGTTCACTCCAGATGGCTGCGACGGCCGGAGCTGGGCCAGGAGCCAGGAACTTCATCTGGGTCTCCATGTGCGTGCAGGGGCTCAAGCACTTGATCCATGTTCTGGTGCTTCCCCAGGCCATTAGCAGGGAGCTGGATCAGCTGGAACTCGAGTGAGAGCCCATGTGGGATGCTGGCATGGAAGGCAGTGGCTTTACCCCAGTCCCCAAGCAGAATCTTTTTTTTTTTTTTTTTGACAGGCAGAGTGGACAGTGAGAGAGAGAGACAGAGAGAAAGGTCTTCCTTTGCCGTTGGTTCACCCTCCAATGGCCGCCGCGGCCGGCGCGCTGTGGCCGGCGCACCGCGCTGATCCGATGGCAGGAGCCAGGTGCTTTTCCTGGTCTCCCATGGGGTGCAGGGCCCAAGCACCTGGGCCATCCTCCACTGCACTCCCGGGCCACAGCAGAGAGCTGGCCTGGAAGAGGGGCAACCGGGACAGAATCCGGCGCCCCGACCGGGACTAGAACCTCGTGTGCCGGCGCCGCAAGGCGGAGGATTAGCCTAGTGAGCCGCGGCGCCGGCCCCAAGCAGAATCTTAACCACTGTGCCATGCCCACCTCACTTGGACACTGATTTCAAAGGGCCTTTCACGTTGTATTCATTATGTCTCAGTAAAGCTGGGATTTTTTTTTTTTTAATGGCAACAAATGAGAAAGGAAAGAGAGAAAAAGAGGTCGTCCACAGCAGAGGAGTGTGGCTCTGTGAAGTCAGTTTTTGTCAAGAAGCCAAAGACGTGAGTGTCTTAGGAAGGACTGTGTTCAGAGTGGGCTGGTTTTATCCAATCAGCGCTCTAATCCAGTTTAGCCCGCCTACAGCATACTGCCTCCAGGGCATCAATAATTTTGTACAGTTACTGACACAGAATGAGTATTAGTGATATTTCAAATTTTTTTCCAGCATCTTGCAACTGCTATGTCAAAAGCTTTGCTCAAACAGGAGTAAGTTCCTAATTTGATGCTGGACCCCCCGGAGTGAGGGCCCTGAGGCTGGGTGTGGACTTCACTGTGTAAAATGTGGGGGAAAATAACTCGGGATTGGCCATAATTAGATTGCAGTTTTGGAAGCTCCTGTGACAACCAAATGACACACCAAGTCCATTCAAACACAGCAGTGGCACGTTTGTTTTAACTTCAGAGTAAATTTTCCTGTTTTAGCATTCCAGATGTGCTGGAAGGTGGCTGGTTTTAGACTGATTCTGACTTTTATCAGAAACCCTACAGGCTAGGAGAGAATGGTGAGATATATTCCAAGTCTTAAGAGAAAAAAAAAAAAACAAAAAACACTCAACTCTCACGTATGAATGAGGGAGAAATAAAGAGCTTCCATAACAAACAGAAGTTGAAAGAATTTGTCCACTTGTTCAGCCTCAAGGATGTGTTACGTACAGAAACTTGGTCATCACTGTGAAAGAAGCTGAAGACAGAAAA